AAAGGCATGTTCCATTCCACATAAGGAAGCATTACATCTTCTAAAATTCTAAGGTAGTGGTCCATGTTTTCCCGAATCCAAAACAGCGATCAAAATCCGTACCACGAAAATCATCCCCATATCATGATATTACCACCTCCGTGTTTGAAAATTTATGTCGTGTATCGGGGATTCATTTCGCATTCTTCGGACATCGAACCCAAAATTTTCCATCCCTACGTACCATATTTATTTTAGATTCATCAGACCAAAAGATCCACTCTTTCGCACCACTTTTCCATTTCACTACTCTTTCGCATTTTCTGGACCGGTTCAATTGTTATGCGCCGAAGGAAAATTAATCCGATTGTTCCGTTGTTTTGTTTGTCAACATTGAAACCTCAATTAATATTCAACTTTCTTCGCTTTGCGTGACACCTATACTGAAACAACGAAGCGAAGAAAACAGAGGTTATGCATAGTAACTGCTTTGCATTCAGTGTTTCCCTCTAATAAAATGACGGCTGTTGCTTGGCAAAGCGTAAAAGATCAGAGTTACCCAACATTGCGAATTTTCATAATAAAGTTGAACGATTTTTAACCGTTGTTCAGGCGTAAGTCTTTCCATGATGAAATGCAAAATGAAAAGTATTGAACAAAAATAACGACAGTTTGACACGACTCATGCGTGATCTGTCAAAAAGGCTATTGGAAAAGGACTTCTACTTGGATCACCCTTAATAATATAAGAAATGCCGTTAAGCGAAAACATATTACGGGCTATAACAAAGCTGCAAATTGATATACGCATGGATTTCCCGAATGAATATGTTTCAAAGCCTCCAGAATTTTGGAATAGCGTAAGTTTTACGGACGAGAGCAAGTTTTGCATCTTCGGGATAAAAGGGAAGAAACTTATACTAATACCCCAAACATACTGCGCAAAATGTTAAGCTCTGGCTTTTGTATGATTTATAAAAGCAGTTGCGAACGCCTTTTACGGATCTAAATCTCATTGAGCATTTATGGGACTTGCTCGAGCGTGGAATCCGAAAACACATCATAACATCAAGAAGTATGCTCAAGGATATTATAATGGAGGAATGGGTGAATATTTCGGCAGAGGATGCAGCAAAACTTGTGGAAGTACCGAAGAGAAACGGATATCCTAATCCACATATATAAGGTTGGCCGTTATTTCCCTTCCGCTTTTTTGCTCTTCATTCAATGCTTTATAAAAAGTGTTACAGTGATCGGATTTAGTTAAAATATGCGCCGTTTTGTTCGTTAACTTGTTGCCAACGAGATACATCTTCATTATACCCCTCTCGTAGAAGGCTGCGTCCCTATTGGCAAAAAACTCGGAGAGCCAATTTTCACAGGCCTCTCTTGCGGTCAACTTCTCACCATTAAGCGCGTTCGCCATGGACAGGAAAAGATGGTAATCACTTGGTGCCAGGTCCCGGCTATATGGTAGATGCGATAAAACCTCCCATCCGAGCTCCCGTAGCTTCTGACGAGTCATCAACGAAGTGTGTGGTCTGGCGTTGTCCTGGTGGAACACTACACCCTTCCTGTTGGCCAATTCTGAACGCTTCTGGTCGATCGCCTGCTTCAAGCGGTCCAGTTGTTCGCAGTAGATGGTAGAATTAAGCGTCTGGCCATATGGGAGCAGCCCATAGTGGATGATTCCCTTCCAATTCCACCAAACACACAGCAAAACCTCCCTATCCAAACCAAATAAATTGCCATAACTAAGCTCCGCAATAAGATACAGGACTGTTATTTGGTACACAGGATCACATTAGGGAGGGGCATCCGCAGTTAAAATTTTTTTTAAAGTGGGCGTGGACCCGCCCCTTATAGGTTTAATGTGCATACTCCTAAACTGCTAATGCTATAATAACAAAATTCACTGGAAGCAAATGTTTTAGTACCTATACATACAGTGTGAAAATAGTTTAAATCGGGTGACAACTCCGCCCACTCCCCATATAACAGTACTGTTAAAAACTACTAAAAGCGCGATAAATCAAGCACTAAACACGCCAGAGACATTAAATTTTATCTAAAGGATGGTATGAGATTACTTTATAGAAACCGCGTTCAAAATTATACAGTGGGCGTGGCACCCCACTTTTAGGTGAAAACCCATATCTTGGGATCTGCTTAACCGATTTCAACCAAATTCGGTGCATAACGCTCTTATCTTATTTGCTATCGCAAAGAAAAAAAACAGATTACAACCACGCCTATTTCCCATATAACACCATTTAAATTCCATCTGATTTTGTCACTTTCCACTATGCAAATCAAAAACAATGATTGTATCGGGATAAACTTTGCGTGAATAATGCGTTTGAAGTATGCCACTTTGTGACCAAAATTGTCTATCGAACCAAAACTGTTCAAGCCCCTAAGTACTAAATATGTGGTCCCCAGTGCCTATAGTTGACCCTCTACCGAAAATATCAGTCAATCCACAAAAAATCTCAAACGAGTATACCATTTGACTTTGCGAGAGTATAAAATGTTCGGTTACATCCCAACTTAGCCCTTCCTTACTTGTTTTATATTGACTTTGGTCAGAAACGGTACCTTCCGAGCAACTTAAGCTTTCAAATTGTTTTATTAATCAAATAACATTCGAATAGTTAAAGCATTCACATCAAAGAATATTGCTTCTTAAGGGCTGAAGAGGTCACAAACGGATTTTCTCTCACCTGACTCAGAATTCACCTTTGCAAAACCGCAGTGATTTTGTACCTCTATATTTTGGTTTTACTTTATAATTTATTGCATTCTCAACTATTTGTTTAGCAGTAATTTATATGAAACAACAACAATTTACATTAAATGTATAAAATTAAAACCCTTTACTCACGTTTGTTGAAAATTTCAAATAAAGTTTTTCGCTTCGCAAAGTGTTTAATTTTGTCGTTTGGCTATATTTAACGCACGCGTCATTGCACAGTCAATAGCAAACTTTCACTGATTTGCAAAAAATGAACTCGCAATTGACTTCAGAAATACTTGTATAATATTCCAAGACGATATTATTATTGATCTACCGTTAGTTCATAGAATATTATATTCACAAAAACTTTAAAATGATGTGACATCGTCAGCGATAGAATAAATAAAAATGTTATTTACAACTATGTGCAAAAAATGTTACCACAGGTCTTAGGAGGAAACAATTATTTTTTATAGTTTATACTTTAAATTTAAATAAAAAGTTAAATTTATTTTAATCATTGCAAAAACAAAAATAACTTAATACCAATTTATGTATTATCAGCAGACAACTTTTAAAGGAACTGTCAGCAACTTTAATTGACAATAAAATAATTCCTGGAACCAAATCATGTAAATATTAGACTACTATATAATATAATATAATAGTATATAACTAAAAATGCATATTAGTTAACATATTGTTGCACAACCTTTATTTGCGAGTACGGCATTGCACATTTTCATCATAGACTCTCCTTGAGCTTTACAGACTGAATTCGGTATTTAGTACCACGCCTCTTAGACTATTCTCCATAGTTTCTCAGTATTTCGTGGTTTAATGAGTCCCACATTTTCCTTTTAAATCTTCCACAGGTTTTCTATAGGATTTAAATCTGGAGATTGCGCCGGTCAAGTCATAACATCGATTCCTTGATACTGTAGAGAAGTCTTAACCACACTCGAGGTATGCTTCTGGTCATTGTCAGGCTGGAACTGCCAAATTAAAGGCATGTTCCATTCCACATAAGGAAGCATTACATCTTCTAAAATTCTAAGGTAGTGGTCCATGTTTTCCCGAATCCAAAACAGCGATCAAATCCGTACCAGAAAATCATCCCATATCATGATATACCACCTCCGTGTTTGAAAATTTATGTCGTGTATCGGGGATTCATTTCGCATTCTTCGGACATCGAACCCAAAATTTTCCATCCCTACGTACCATATTTATTTTAGATTCATCAGACCAAAAGATCCACTCTTTCGCACCACTTTTCCATTTCACTACTCTTTCGCATTTTCTGGACCGGTTCAATTGTTATGCGCCGAAGGAAAATTAATCCGATTGTTCCGTTGTTTTGTTTGTCAACATTGAAACCTTCCGAGAGATTCCAAAGAGATTATTTTCGACAAGGCGACGCGCAACAGTTCTCGAAAAAAATTTCTACACCCAATTCTCTTTGGATAGCTACAGAGGACGTCAAAGGATCGCTTTTTGAATAAATCTCAATGTAATTTTCTACTTGTGACGTCGTTTTTCGTGTCCGTCCTCTCAATTCACATTCTCTTAGAGGTTTCAAAACAGTATACCGAAACTTTTGGGTTAGTTTTATAATGCTTGCAATTTCCCTTTGATATCTTCACGATATATTATTGACCAAGGGAACTCTATAGTCTCCGCAGAAATTGTTCAGATCGGGCCACCATATATGCCATTTGTCATACAAACTGACGAATCAAAATCAAGTTCTTGTATGGAATTTTTTGTAATTGTGAAGGGTGCAACCGTAGTGATATGAAAGAAAATCGAACTATGATTAAAAGCTATTTGTGCATTAATAAATGTGAAATAAATGCATAGAAACAAAGTAGGTAATTGTTAGTAGATGTAAAAGGGAACAATATAGGCATAACATTCATTGTTATTCTAAAAAGTACACACTTTATATCGTTGAATTTTTTAAATTTAAATGCAAAGATCTTAAAAACCATAAGGGCCAAAAATATGTAACTATTGTATATATTATATAATGTATTCTTAATTTTCATAACCGCGCCTACGAAACTCTCTTGAACGT